CAGTCCCTTGTGGCCTTGGAATGGATAATCCCAGCCAGAGATTCAGTGAAAGTGAGGGTGGGATCTGCAAAGCAATGCTGTGAGGGATGGGAAACCTGATATTTGCCAAGTTGTCCATCTCAACACTGCACAATTCTGACTGCAAAGGCGCTGCAAGTTAACATTACCCAGGGCAGCCCTGCCTTGTGCATGGGACTAATTATGTGCTGGCTGTTTGGCTCACAAAGGCTGCAGGTGCTTGGGGGAAAACACAAGTCATCTGTCCCCATTGTGGATGGCCTGGGACAGAGACTGTCTAAATACTTCCATACTCAGAACTACCGATGGCTGAAGCAGCTCCTCTTTTCAAAGTGCAGGGTATAGCAGTTTCCCGGAGACGCCACTGACAGCTCCTGCTTCTCTGCAGCGGGGTTTCACCCATGCTCACTGATCCTTACAACACTAAGGAATGTGTGCAGATCCATGCGCATCTAAGAGCAACACTTCACTACAGACTTTTGCAGATGCTGAATACCTGCACAGAGACTTCCCCCAAAGTTTTCTGAGGCAGGAGGCCATGCAGTACAGCTCCGCAGCAAATAAGGCTGAATGCTGGTATTCCTTGCATGGGGGCTCAGGGACTATATGAGTGGCTGGAGAACAGCCAGACAGGGGACACTGTGGGAAGGCAAAGATCTACATCCGGATGTTGAAAGCTGGCGGGGGAGTTGGTATTTTTATTTTTTTGCTGCTGTTTGCCACACTCTACAGTCTCTTGTTTTGCTTTATAGTAGCTAATTTCTGCTGAGGGGCCCAACCACAGCATAAGGCAACCTATGGTGTTCCAAAGGAGGCCTAGCAAAGTGGTGGTGAAGTGAAGTCTAGGATGACACACACTTCACCATCACCGGGCTTGTCTGAACAAATACTTAGTTTGCAGCAAGCTGGGGTGTGAATCTGCTGTGCGTGAAGTTTCATGTGAACCCTGCTGACGCTCACTAATAGTTCCCTAGTGTACTTTGATCTACTCCTGTGTCAAACCACAATAGATCAAAGTGCACTACGGAGCTCTTATTGCATGGCTGCGGACACACAGTCTGCAGCAGGATACATTCACACCTCAGCTAGCCAAGACCTAAGTATTCATTTAGACAAATCCATAGTGTGGCACAAAAAGAAACTAATTCCCATCAGAAGGGTTTTTACTCCTACCATTTCAGTGCAGGATGGGATGCTTAAGAAGTGGCGTCATTCTGAAAGGAGATATCTGAGAGAGAGAAGAGCCCTCATTTATTTGTATTCATAGTTAAGCTTTGCCTGCATCTGATAAATTTGAGGCCAGTTACTTTAAGGCTCCTCTAAATCCAAAGCTAATTTCAAAATGGATAAGTGCCTCACCAATATTGTTGCCCATTCTCAGGCTGAAAACCTCACTATGGAATTCAGGTTGCAAATATTTGCCAGTTACTTCATGGGCTGGGATGGAACCCAGGAAAGAATGTTGTAGTTTTCTCCCCAAAAGCCAGAGCATTGAAAAGCCACAAAATTCATAGTAAAGCTTAAACTTCAAAATCTCCAAACACGAGAGAGTCACTCAGACAATAGGGATTTCCTGCACCTGGCATTGTGGGATGTCAAAATTTTGGTGCAGGATTTACTAAGGACTTTAAGAAGGTCACAGCCTCAAGGTTGTTTAAAATCAGATTTCTGACAGAAAGCTGGCTTGAGCCTTTATATTAGAGCTGCTAGTATCTCAATTGGCAGAGACAGATAAAAGGGTTCATTTACATAATCAGATGCTACATTTATTGTGGCAACAAGCAAAAATGCTACCTGAATTTGGCTCTCCTCTGGGAGTTAACACTTTGGAGCATTATAAACAATAAGATCCTACAAACATCTATGCATATGAATAACATTGCATTAGATAGGTTTCAGAGTAGCAGCTGTGTTAGTCTGTATCCACAAAAAGAAAAGGAGTACTTGTGGCACCTTAGAGACTAACAAATTTATTTGAGCATAAGCTTTTGTGAGCTACAGCTCACTTTATCTTATGCATTCCTGATAGATTTCCACTCCATACGGCTAAATGCAGTGCCTTGCATAATGACAGGTTTCAGAGTAGCAGCCGTGTTAGTCTGTATTCGCAAAAAGAAAAGGAGGACTTGTGGCACCTTAGAGACTAACAAATTTATTTGAGCATAAGCTTTTGTGAGCTACAGGCATCCGATGAAGTGAGCTGTAGCTCATGAAAGCTTATGCTCAAATAAATTTGTTAGTCTCTAAGGTGCCACAAATCCTCCTTTTCTTATTGCATTAGATGGGACTACCAAAGCTGCTTAAAGTTACTCATATGTGTAAGTGTTTGCAAGACCTGGGCTACAGTTATTCCGTATTAAAATGTTTCCCAGGCCACCCAGCTTGTTTTCCCAGAAGTGATTTAAATCAATTTCACACGTTTAGAATCCAAAACAATCCCTGTTTGCGCTAATAAAAATAAGGGAGGGGAAAGGAGGGCTGTAGTTTGTACTGGCAAATGGCCCTCCAACCCTGCTGTAGAACACTTAGTCAGCTAACAGTATAAATGCTGTGACCTGGATTTAGTCATGCCTTTTAAAACTGCACTCACATGGTCTACTTTCTGAATACAGAAGTGTAAGTAATCAGAAACTAGGCCAGGTGGAGTCTATATTTAAAAACCTGCCGGAGAGTAGGGCTGGAAAGTACAGTTATATATAGTAGACTATTACCAGAGTGCCAGGGTTTAAAGCTTTTCATGGTATAGCTGTATCTTGGGAAAGTGTTCACTTAACCTCACCGTTGTACATGATTTTTTTGATTTACTAATAAGCAGGCCTCTAGGTTACATTTCCCCCTGACACTTCCTTCTGCCTGATCTGCTCTCCTGTCAACAGTAGCATATAATTTCTAACAACAGACAAACCTACCACTAATAATTGGTCTCTTGTAGGCAGAGAGGCGATGGACTGAAGGGGCCTGGAGGCCTTTCCCTTAGAGAAAGTCCCTAGCTCAGGGTTGATGTATGATGGTGGGAAACCTGCCCTGGTGCCACCTATGATCTGTTGCTAGAAGATCAGTCCGTAGGGCTGCCAATTGGGCCCCTTCCCTGATGGCCAAATTCACTGAAGACATTCTTGTCTTTAAAATATAACTACAGTTATACACACCATGCAAAACACACATGCCACCCTCCAAGCATATCCAAACCTCTTCCAAAGGCAGCTTTGGATGTGCACTGAGAACTAGTATGAAGTTCCCAATATAAAGTTGTCACCCGTGAACAACTGGAGTTGGGAAATGGGACACAAGGTTTCAGAGTCCCAGCAGAGCCCGCTTTTTAGTCTACACAGTGCTTTCAAGGTCCAGCTCACCGAGTTGCTCACTGTTTCAGGAAGTACTTCTCTTTCCAAGTGCTAACCCAGTCTGGAGCTGCGGTATAAGCTGGCTTTTACCTTCTAAATGAGTTACAAGTAATATTTCATATTAAAGGATTTGCTGGGTTAGTCCAGGAGCCCTGAACATACCGTGTGATGTGATACAGAGCCAAGTGTGACAGCATCTCTTAAAGAGCCCCTGCAGTAATCAGGAATATATAAAATAAGTTAGGTACCTGACACCCCAAACTTCTTTTTGTGTGTGTGTTTTTTATTAATGGTTTTACAAAACCTAATATGAGTAAAATGCTTTCATGACTATTAAAAACTATGGTTTTTTGGTTGGAATTGCACAGGTTTGCAACCCAAACATTGCAAAATTGTACTAGTGTCTGAGAACCAGAGAGAGTGGAACCTGCTAGTTTATTTTCAGTGGCCAAGCTGAGTGAAATGCAAAAAGTAAACAAACAGCATAAATAGTAAAAATAAGTGAGATGTTTAAAATTCATTCAGTTCTAATAATCTAGGGTGTAAGCAGTTCAGTAAGGACATTTGCTTTTTAAAGCGTGGTGGTGTCCCTTGAAGTGCTCTGGAAAGCAAGAGACCAACAAACCCAGACTGTGACAATGAAAGAAATAACTATCAGTATAATCTCCATTCCACCCCCCATACATGTGAGGGGGAAAAATGTGCAAAGTAGTGGCTAAGAGAAAGCAGAACCATTTAGGATACGTCTACACTGCAATTAAAAACAACTCAGGCTTGTGGGGCTCGGGCTACGGGGCTGTTTAATTGCAGTGCAGATGTTCAAGTTCCGGCTGAAGCCCAGGCTCTGGGATCCCAGGAGAGGGAGGTCATACAGTTCAAGCTCCAGCCTGAGCCCAAACATCTACACTGCAATTCAACGGTCCCTTAGCACGAGCCTGAGTCAGCTGACCCGGGGCAGCCGCAGGTGTTGAACTGCAGTGTAGACGTACCCTTAGAGTAACGTTTGCAGATGAGTATACTTTGTTTGACTATGTTAATAAAGCAGTGTTGCAGCTGAGTCAGTCCCAGTATATTAGAGACAAGGTGGGTCAGGTTGGTAATATCTCTTATTAGATCAACTTCTGTTGGTGAATGTGCATAACACCTTCAAAAGATGAGCCTGAGAGCTTAAATTCATAACTGTGCTAGACACTAAAAATCATGGACTGGATAGACACTGAATGTATGGCTCATTACAACAATCTGTAATCCACTAACCCTCCCTTGTCCTACAACTGCAGTCAAGTTACTGCCCACTTGACCTTGAATGGACTCTTGCAACGTGTTAACTTCTTATGTAACAAGATGTTACAACTAAATAGAAGGTGTGACACTCTGAGTACCTTCCCAGACCTGAAGAACAGCTCTGTGTAAGCTCGAAAACTTCTCTTCACCAACAGAAGTTGGAATAACAACTTATATTACCTCACCCACCTTGTCTCTCTATGCTCTAGCTCTAGTTTTCCTGCCCAAGTCTGGGAAAGTTGAGTTTTTCCATTTGGCTATAAATGTTATGAATTCACTGAACGTCACAGTCTGGGCTCTGATCGTACGGCCTGCAGAGGCTGCTCGTGAAGGGGACCAAAGTAAGTAGCTTACCTTCTCGCCAGTTGTGCTGCATCTGGTGCAGCGCTGCCATTGACCAGAAGGGAAACATTGGAAACTGCTCCGGCCAGGAAACACTCCACGATTCCTTGGTTCCTCTTTGGGCAGTAGCCAAAGTCATCTCCGGTTACAATTAACTTCACTCTGGCCTGAAGCATCCTTAGGGGTCAGCCCTGACAGGAAATCAAAGGAGACAAAATCAAAGCAATGAACGCTGCAGCACATTAAAAGGCTACAGGAAAAGGCAGGATCAGTATATATGAATGAGAAAGAGAGAGAGAGAATAGAGAAATGAATCAAAAAGTGACTCCGCCTCCTGCCAGATCTGCTGCTCCACCTTAGCTGTTTACAATGGTAATGACGAATATACTGGCAGGGCTAGTTTCATTTCACTGTAACTGTGGCTCTCACTCACAGTACTCTGCCCCTCCCTCAGTGCCAAGATCAGCCTCCTTCACTTTTCTATTCAGGGAAGGAAGGAATGTCATGCTATATTACCCAGCTGGATTAAGAGTAGTTTTTTCCAGTTTAACAGGTCACTGATTTACCTAATGATTTAAATGACTGATGGTACATCAAGGTTCAGAACCCTCTGGTTTCTGGACTCCATCATAGTGAGCAGCTAGCTTACAGTATCTGAAGAGAAGAAACATCAGGAATGCAGAGCTCAGACAATCCTAGAAGAAACTAAACCATTAGTCTATGTTAAAAGATGGACTTCTTCCAATAGCCAAATCTCAATAAAAGTCCAGTACGAAGAAGGTACATGCTGGTTCCTGGTTCTGCATAGGCTGTCTGAATTCTGCAGCTATTCCACAGAAGCAGCTTACATTCTCCCACATCAGGGTTTCAAAAAGGCATCACATTTGGCATTTTTTCAAGTAAAACAGTGGACAAGGGAAAGAGGTTAGAGTCTTAATTTCCTCACACTGCCTCTCCCTTTCCAATTTGCATGCCTCCTCTTTTGAAGAATAAGCAAGATTCCTTCACATCGGTATTTGCACTTTCCTGTCACACAGATCTGAGGCTCATTTAACTGTTGAGCATACGGTGTTTGTTCGGCATTGGACACCCAGGAAGCTGGAGCTTTCCTGCTTCACCAGAAAAAGCTCTGAGAGCACAGCGCCCCTTGGGAAGTCAATCAGACCCTCTTTTTTTGCACCCCGGCTATTGTTCTTCCTTTCTTCTTTCCAGTTAGAAGCGGTTCATCGTCTCTGTCCCTCTTTTTCTGAGCTGGGACTCCAGCAGCAGTAAGGAAGCTGCTGTGCATGCGCTGAGAACAAGCAGGAAGTGTGGCACAGTGCCTCCAACAGCAGAGAAGTGAGCTATTTATATACTCCACACAGTGTTTGCTTATGGAGAGGGTAAGAGACCTAGAATTCATAACAGCGGCCCAAAATCAATAGGGCAGAAAGCAACTGGCTGAAGCAAGAGCGTGCTTGTCTCGTTTTCTAAGTGATTTTTCAGTATAATCCATCTGCTTTATTACAGGGCCATGCTGCCTTTGCTCGTAGATCATATAAAAATATAGCCACAAACCACCCCCAATTGGAGCTAAGATGACCAGAGAGCAAGTGTTAAAAATCGGGATGGGAGTGGGGAGTAATAGGTGCCTATATAAGAAAAAGCCTCAAATATTGGGACTGTCCCTATACAATCGGGACATCTGCTCACCCTAATTGGAGCACTTAACTCTGTCTGCTACAATATTTCATCACAAGAATTCCTAAAGGCAGGGACGTTGCGATCCCATTTGTGGAGTGACAGCGACTGCCCTGATCCCCCTGAAACAACCAGGAGCAGGGGAGGTCCCCTCCTGGGGCAAGGATGGGACGCCCTGAAGAAGACAGACAGGCACCAAAAAGCCCCTGCTCAATCAGTGATGGGAGGGCTTCTGACCCCTGCAAGCTGCTGTTAGACCCCCCTAAGGTCCTGGGGTGAAGGCGTGGCCCTCATGATTTCCTGGCTCGTCCCTGACTTACGCCGCCTGTTGCCAGAAGGCTCCCCAGCCCCGCGACTCCACGGCACAACCCCTGCCCCGGGAGCCGGGCTCTCCGCCAGCTGCCCCAGGGATGCCCCGCACTAAGCAAAGGGGGGCCCCCACCCTGCAGGGGGGCTCCCGCTCCCCGGAGCGCCAGCGCCGGGCCCTTCAGCTAGAGTCCAACACGCTGCGGCGTCCACAGGGGCCAGCCCCGAGCTGCGGCCGCCTCCCTCCCCTTGAACGCCGGCGGCCGGCGGCTGCTCCCGCGCCGGCGCTGCCGCTTCCCTCCCGCTCGCCCCCCGGGCGCGTGGGGGCCCCCGGACTCACCCATCATGAAGCGCCCGCCCAGCCCCTGGCAGCAGCTGCTGCTGCGGCCTCCACCACACGCTCCCGAGCCAGGCGCCCCGGCCGCGCCGCGCCGCGCCGCACAGAGCCGCTGGGGCTCGCGGGCCGCGGCGTGTGCGCCCGGTCAAGGCGCCCGGTCAAGGCGGGCGGCGGCTCGGATGTCCAGGGGCCTGCTGCAGCTGGGGCACCCACGGCTCAGCAGGCCGTAAAAAGAGGGATGGACCCGGTGCACTGGAGTGATTGGCAGGCGGCGCTTAATTTGTGCCAGGGCTGAGCCCTGGCACCTCTAGGGCTTGGCAGGTCATAGCCCCCGCACCTCTGGGCTTGCTGAATGGGGGGGGGGGGGGGATGTTCGAGCCCCATCGCATCTTTCCTTGCAAATTAAGCTTTGGATGCTTGCGGGGTGGGGGTCTGATATGGCGCCACTGTTGTATGCGCAGTAGTTGAAGCCCAGTGTGTCCCAGGATATTAGAGTGACAGGGTGGGTGAGGTCATACCTTTTTGTGGACCAACTTCTGTTGGTGAGGGAGACAAGCTGCCAAGCCACAGGCAGAACTCACAGCACAGGTGAAGGGATTGTTTAGCATCAGTGGAAGGGATTGTTTCGCATCAGTAGTTAGCAGAGATTATTAGGGACCATTCCAGGTAGAGGGGCCAGTTAATACCTCCATCCATTTCATCCTCACCCGTAACAGTTTTACAATCAACAGCAAACACTTTATCCAAACCATGGCCATAGACATAGGAACTAAGATGGCTTCCCAATATGCCAGCCTCTTCCCGGGCTACCTTGAAGAAGAATTTCTAAACAAATGCACCATATAACCAGTGATATATCTGAGATACATCAATGATATTTTCATCCTCTGGACAGACAACTTAAACTCCCTCATAGATTTCCCCTTCAACAACCAACTCACATCCATTAAACTCTCTCTGGAGCACTCCCACACTAACATCAACTTCCTGGACACCACAATCAGCTTCAACAATGGAACCCTACAGACAACTATATACAAGAAACCCACGGATCACCACACCTACCTTCATAGATGCACTAACTGCCCCGAACACACCAAGAAATCTGTTATCTACAGCCATATCACAGAATATGCTCTGAGGAGAAAGTCCAAGATATACCTTAACACACTTAAAACCACTTTCACCATACAAGGACACTCCACCAGAGAAGTAGATTGCATCATGGAATAGGCCACCCAAATACCCTAAGAAAACCTGCTTCAATACAGAAATAAAACCCCCTCTGCCTACATACCCCTAGTTGTTGCCTACCACCTCACACTGGAACCCCTACAGGATATCATCAAACACCAACAATCCTTACTTGATGGGGACCCCATCCTGAAAGAAATCTTTGCTGAACCCCTGTTTCTGTCCTTCAGACAACCCCCCAATTTCTCCAAGCTCATCATCAGAAGCAAGCTCCCGACAGATCAGGACACAACTCAGAGCAGCACCAGACCCTGGCAGAACAACAGATGCAAAACCTGCAGACATATTGCCACTCCTACAATGATCCACACCCCCAAACAAAACACCTTTCAAGATCCATGGGTCCTAAACATGCCTATCACAACATGTGGTATACCTCTTCCAGTGCACTAAATGCCCCAATAACAACTATGTGGGTGAAACCAGACAATCACTATGCTCTTGAATGAACACACACAGGAAAATGATAAAACACAAAAACACCGTATCACCTGTGCGTGAACATTTTTCACAAAGCGATCTCTGTATATCTGACCTGTCAGTCCTCATCCTCAGAGGAAACTGGCACAACACTTTCAAAAGATGAGCCTGGGAGCTTAATTTCATGACTGTGCCAGACATCAAAAATCATGGACTGAACAGAGACACTGGATTTTATTAAGATGATGTTTAAAAAAAGTGAATGGTACACAGTTGAAGCATAAAAGTTTCTTGTTATCAGGAAATAACGTACAGATTATCAAGGGGTGTGAAGTTCAGTTTAGGATCGGATGGCGTAAGGAATACATAATCTGTTGTTGGATCATATTAAAGAAGTTCTGTATTAAAATCACAAATGAGTTTGATTCCCCATAGTTTAAATTCCAGGGTATTACTAATGAAGAGGTCTCTTGGTTTTTGGTACTGTTTCTCTCCCTCTATGTGTGAAACTTGCAAGCTGCTAATTGTGTTAGTACATTCTAAGACAGAGTCTATTCTCAAAGCAATTCTTTGTAACAACAACTACTCACACGGAGAGAGACTCAAAGCAATACTCTGTAACAACAGAAACAGCACCCAGAGACTTCCTGCCCTTTTGTTGTACTCATCTCGCTTTGTTAACAATTGTGATTAAAATAGAGATAGAGGATGTATGTGGATGGATGCTTGGTGTGGATAATAACTGAATGATCAGTTTGGTGCCAGCCTAAGAATACAGTGTCCATCAGCTGAAGAAGGCGTCAAGTGGAAATAACCAGAGGACCCCCGGAGGGCAGACTGGAATCCACCCAACAGCCTCAAGAATGGGAGAACCAAAGAACAAGATAACATCTGGCAGCACGGAGCCGTCAGGAATGTGCCATCTGCTGATTGATTCAGCAACAGCATGATGAAGCAATTCCCATAGACTGGCATAGGAAGAAATTCCTATAAAAATGGACTCTAGAAAGTGAGAACTTTGGGGTCTGATTCTGCAAACCAACTTCCAGGAGCGTCAGATGAGCATCTGACAAGGCCCTGCTCCCTCCTCATGTCCAGGCCACCTGGCCAGTGGCTTGGCATGAGCAACTCTAAGGCTGGTAACTATGATAACAACCTTGAAGTACCTGTGTGTGTGTGTGTGTGTGTGTGTGTGAATGAATGTGTGAATAAATATGAAATTGAATGGAATGTTATAGCTATAACTAACTGCTTACTATGATTCTTTCTGTATTCACAATAAATGTGGCATTTTGCCTTTTCCCCTTTAATAAGATCCTGCTGGTTTTTATTTTATTGGTATAACACTGTAATATTCCTGATTGGGGGTAAAAGGTTGATGGGTCAAACTACAGACATTGAGATATGGGGGTATGTTGTTCATATAATGGCTATGTTCAGGTGTGGCGTATAATGAGTGGATACAGTGGTGAGGATGGATTTACCCCCTCATTTGATGAGATTTAATGTTCAGTGAGTTTATGGTTCCAGTTCATATGGTCCAATGTACAAAGTCTCTCAGTCCCTTTCTTGTAGTCGCAGCACAATGTCGCTCCGGCTCACACCTCCTGGTACTGTCGGTGGCCGGTGACGTGTTTGATGTAGATGTCCCTGGACCATCGGATCATGTCCGAGACCATGAGGTGCCGCATGAGCCGTGCATAGAGTTGACTGATCCTGCAGGTACGCAGCACATGCTTGTTGCAGGGGTCCCAGGCGCCCAGGGCTCCAACGATCAGGGCGTCCATCTGTACCTCATAGCCCTTCACTCTCAGGATGTCGACTACAACAACATATAACCCACTAACCCCCTCTTTTTGTCCTGTGACAGCAAAGGTATTAACAGGCCACTCTACTTTGAATGGTCTCTTACAATATGTGTGAACTACTTTTCCTTAACAATCTGTTCCACCTTGGATTTTGTTTTGACCTGGGGAGTTCCTTTCCCACACCTGAAGTAGAGCTCTTCATGGCTGGAAAGCTTGTCTCTCTCTCTCACCATTGGAAGTTGGTCCAATAAAAGATATTTTATTTACCTTGTGACTGTTGGTGGGCATTTCCATAGAGCTCATTGCCATAGTACCTGAGAATGCCAGGTGTCCTTATTTATACCAAAAGGGCGGGGTGTTCCTAACCCAGCACCATGGTAGGAGAGGGCAAGAAGATGGGATGGTATTATTACCAAACTTTACTCCTGAAACTAGAAAACACAGGCACCTCTCCTGCTTTCCTGCTTTGTTATAAATGCAAAACTCAGTTTACATTTATGCAAAGATGCACTAAAATGCTGGATGTTTCCACGGACCTTGGTCTAATTTTTTTTTCCACAGCTGAACCTAGGGCTGATTTATGGTTTCACATCAGTTTGCATCGTTGTACACTTTGTCACAAAACTAGTTGAAATGCTCTGGTTTCAGCTGAGTTTTGTGTTGCATTCTCAGGTTAATGAGAACCTGAATCCCATCAGTAGAAAATGCATGTTATTCAGAATGAAAGAAAACCCCATTGGATCAACTACTCTGGGCTTCCTAGAGAAAATCCAACTGTCCAAACTGTTCAACAATAAAGCAGGTAGGTCCCCAAATGCTGTGCTGACTGAAGCCTCACTCCTCGCCATCTGCTAAGCTCTACAGGTCCACTAAGATCCATGAAACTGAAGCTCTTGTGAGCTAAATCAACCAACCAATTACCAAGAAAACCGGAGTTATCTGAATCCTCACATTTACAAAGGTCTTAGGTGTCCTGTGAGACATTCATAAAACGGAGGTTCTACTGTATTTAATATTTTCTGTATGACCTTGGTGTATATTTCCCCCTGTTGCACCCCAACATGCCCCGATGGATTCAGATACAAAACTATTCCCAAACACAGCCTGGGAAGCACTTAGATACTACAGTAATGAGTGGTATAGAAAACCCTGACATAGACAGATAGGTAGAATATCCTTCTCTCCCAGACAAAATGCCCACAACACTCACCATACAAAGAGATGACTCCCTTTCTCAGACCTACTGATGAGGTTAGATTTGTACCTAGCAGCTGTAAATGGCATGACTAGTGCAATCACACAAGATGTTTTCTTTTGTTTCCCCAGTGTAAAATTAATCAAAGTCTTTTTTCACTGGCACCATTTGGTTCATGAATTGCCAGGGTAGCTGCTCAGTCCTGTTTTTTACT